TTGTAGTATACTGTAGTACTGGGAACATGTTTGTGCAAGCTTTGTAGTAAACGGTAGTACTGCAGCGACTTTGTGCGAGCTTGTAAGTATACGGTAGTACTGGAACGTGTTTGTGCAAGTTTTGTAGAATACGGTAGTACTGGAGCGACTTTGTGCGAGCTTTGTAGTATACGGTAGTATACTGCAATGTGTTTGTACAAGTTTTGTAGTATACGGTAGTACTGCATCGTGTTTGTGCGGATTTTGTCGTATACGGTAGTGCTGGAACGTGTTTGTGCGAGTTTTGTAGTATACGAAAGTACTGGGAGCGACTTTGTGCGAGCTTTGTAGTATACGGTAGCACTGAAGCGACTCTGTGCGGGTTTTGTAATATACCGTAGTACGTGTTTGTGCAAGCTTTGCAGTATACGGTAGTACTGCAGCACGTTTGTGCGGGTTTTGTAGTATACGGTAGTACTGGAACGTGTTTGTGCAAGTTTTGTAGTATGCAGTATACGTATACTGGAACGTGTTTGTGCAAGTTTTGTAGAATACGGTAGTACTGAAGCGACTTTGCTCGGGTTTTGTAGTACTGGGAACGTGTTTGTGCAAGCTTTGTAGTATACGGTAGTACTGGGAACGTGTTTGTGCAAGCTTTGTAGTACAAAGTAGTACTGGGAAGTAGTTTGTGCGAGCTTTGTAATACAAAGTAGTACTGGGAAGTAGTTTGTGCGAGCTTTGTAGTACACAGATGTACACAGTAGTACTGCATGGGAAGTAGTTTGTGCGGAGTATTAGTACTGGTTTCCGACTGGTTTTCGACTGGTTTCCAACTGGTTTCCGACTGGTTTCCAACTGGTTTCCGACTGGTTTCCGACAGGTTTCCGACAGGTTTCCGACAGGTTTCCGACAGGTTATGGTTTCCGACCGGTTTCGGACTGGTTTCAGAGTGGTTCAGAGTGGTTTCCGACTGGTTTCAAATTGGTTTCAGAGTGGTTTCAGACTTGTTTCCGACTGGTTTCAGAAGTCTTGTAGTATACGGTAGTACTGGAACGTGTTTGTGCAAGATTTGTAGTATACGGTAGTATTGCAACGTGTTTGTACAAGTTTTGTAGTATACGGTAGTACTGGGAGAGACTTTGTGCGAGCTTTGTAGTATACGGTAGTACTGAAGCGACTTTGTGCGGGTTGTGTAATATACGGTAGTACTGGAACGTGTTTGTGCGAGTTTTGTAGTATACGGTAGTACTGGAACGTGTTTGTGCGAGTTTTGCAGTATACGGTAGTACTGGGAGCGACTTTGTGCGAGCTTTGTAGTATACGGCAGTACTGAAGCGACTTTGTGCGGGTTTTGTAGTATACGGTAGTACTGGGAACGTGTTTGTGCAAGCTTTGTAGTACAAAGTAGTACTGGGAAGTAGTTTGTGCGAGCTTTGTAGTGCAATGTATATTTCTGGGAAGTAGTTAGTGCGAGCTTTGTAGTACACAGTAGTATACTGGGAAGTAGTTTGTGCGGAGTATTTGTACTGGTTTCCGACTGGTTTCCGACTGGTTTTCGACTGGTTTCCGACTGGTTTTCCGACTCGTTTCCAACTGGTTTCCGACTGGTTTCCAACTGGTTTCCGACAGGTTTCCGACAGGTTTCCGACTGGTTTCTGCAGACTGGGTCAGAGTGGTTTCCGACTGGTTTCCGACCGGTTTCGGACTGGTTTCAGAGTGGTTCAGAGTGGTTTCCGACTGGTTTCAAATAGGTTTCAGAGTGGTTTCCAACTGGTTTCAGACTGGTTTCTGAAGTTTTGTAGTATACGGTAGTACTGGAACGTGTTTGTGCCAGTTTTGTGGTATACGGTAGTACTGCAACGTGTTTGTACAAGTTTTTTAGTATACGGTAGTACTGGGAGCGACTTTGTGCGAGTTTTGTAGTATACGGTAATACTGCAACGTGCTTGTACAAGTTTTGTAGTATACAGTATACGGTAGTACTGCAACGTGTTTGTGCGGAATTTGCAGTATACGGTAGTACTGGGAACGTGTTTGTGCAAGCTTTGTAGTATACAGAAGTACTGAAGCGACTTTGTGCGAGCTTTGTAGTATACGGTATATTACTGGGAACGTGTTTGTGCAAGCTTTGTAGTATAAAGTAGTACTGGGAAGTAGTTTGTGCGAGCTTTGTAGTACAAAGTAGTACTGGGAAGTAGTTTGTGCGAGCTTTGTAGTCCAATGTAGTACTGGGAAGTAGTTTGTGCGAGCTTTGTAGTACAAAGTAGTACTGGGAAGTAGTTTGTGCGGAGTAGTACTGGTTTCCGACTGGTTTTCGACTGGTTTCCGACTGGTTTCCGACTGGTTTCCGACTGGTTTCCGACTGGTTTCCAACTGGTTTCCGACTGGTTTCCGACTGGTTTCCGACTGGTTTCCGACAGGTTTCCGACTGGTTTCGGATTGGTTTTCCGACTGGTTTCCGACTGGTTTCAGACTGGTTCAGAATGGTTTCCGACCGGTTTTTGACTGGTTTCAGACTGGTTCAGAGTGGTTTCAAACTGGTTTCCGACTGGTATCAGAAGTTTTGTAGTATACGGTAGTATTTGAACGTGTTTGTGCAAGTTTTGTAGTCCACGGTAGTATTGCAACGTGTTTGTACAAGTTTTGTAGAATACGGTAGTACGGAAGCGACTTTGCTCGGGTTTTGTAGTATACGGTAGTATACTGCAACGTGTTTGTACAAGTTTTGTAGTATACGGTAGTACTGCATCGTGTTTGTGCGGATTTTGTCGTATACGGTAGTACTGGAACGTGTTTGTGCGAGTTTTGTAGTATACGAAAGTACTGGGAGCGACTTTGTGCGAGCTTTGTAGTATACGGTAGTACTGAAGCGACTCTGTGCGGGTTTTGTAGTATACAGTAGTACTGGGGACGTGTTTGTGCAAGCTTTGTAGTGCAAAGTAGTACTGGGAAGTAGTTTGTGCGAGCTTTGTAGTGCAATGTAGTACTGGGAATGTAGTTTGTGCGAGCTTTGTAGTACACAGTAGTTACTGGGAAGTAGTTTGTGCGAAGTAGTACTGGTTTCCGACTGTTTTCCGACTGGTTTCCGACTGGTTTCCGACTGGTTTCCGAATGGTTTCCGACAGGTTTCCGACTGGTTTCCGACTGGTTTCAGACTGGTTTCAGATTGGTTTCCGACTGGTTTCAGACTGGTTTCCTATCGGTTTATCGATCGATCGATCGATCTATCCATCTATCTATCCATCTATCCATCCATCCATCTAATCTAATCTAAAATAATCTAATCTAATCTAATCTATCTATCTATCTATCTATCTGTCTATCATACCCCCAAAAGATGACCTGGGGGGGTTGGGTGTCCCCATTTTGTAGAGCCAAATCTGGCTTTTGGGGCCCCAGGGCTCTACAGAATGAGGAACCTGCCGCAAATCTAGCAAGGGGTTTTTCTCTACAAAATCAGGGCACCCAATCCTTTTTTTTTGGTGCACTTTTGTGATTTTCAGAACCGTTGGCCTCTACAAAGTGGGGAACCTGACATGAGCACACATTTGAGCAGAATTGCTACTTGGAATAAAGCAAGCCCTCAAAAATACAAAGATCCATTTTGTAGAGGGGTGATGTGAAAGAACCTTGGTCTCCCCTGAAAACCCTGAATTTTACAAGAATCCATTTTGTAAAGGCAATTCCTGTTCCACATTTCCAGTTTTTGTAACATCAATATAATTTGTAAATATATTTATGCACGTGAATGTTGACACACCCTAAAACCTCTACAGAATGAAGAACCTACAGTTTCACCAAATAATGGATTGGATTTTTTTTTGGGGATTATCTATCTATTTATCTGTCTATATCTATCTATCTATATCTATATCTATCTATATCTATCTATATCTATCTATATCTATCTATATCTATCTATATCTATCTATATCTATATATATCTATCTATATCTATCTATCCATCTATCTATCCATCTATCTATCCATCTATCTATCTATCTATATCTATCTATATCTATCTATCTATCCATCTATCTATCTATCTATCTATCTATCCTTCTATCTATCTATCTATCCATCCACCTATCTGCTCCCACCATCCCAAGATATCCCAAGTCATCACCCTCGTCTCATAACAATCGGAAGGCTTAACATGTGGGGTTATCTGGTCCTTTAATTTATATGCATGTCCACGCATATGCATACGTGGTCCCATATCTTGTTTTCACGGCCCCTGCAGCCTCCACCACCCCCAGCCACGTCCCAGGTTGGGGAAATAGATATATACATATACAGATGCAAACGTACCCATGTGTATATATAAACAAAATGTGTATATATGTATATATATATACATATGTATGTATAAAAGTGTATATTTACGTATGTATGTATGTATGTATGTGTGTATGTACGTATGTATGTATGTATGTATGTATCTCTGTATATATATATATATATATGTACTACCCACATGTACACGTATATTAATCTATTTGTTTACATATAGATACGCACATACTTGTATAATCTTGTAAATTTCCAAATACATAAAGAAGCTATCAGAATCTCGGGATGAGGGGGGACCGCCAAACCCTGGGCCATATATATATATATGTAAATAATAATATATATATATTTAGGTATATATATATATCTATATTTAGGATACACATGTATGTTCATATGGTTTTAAATGTATACAAATACAACCGCATGTATATATACATATATGTATGTATGTATGTATGTATGTACAAATGCGCTTACACTTAACAGTACCTGTAAAGAAACGTCATCTAAGTATTCCTTTCTGAGCGTTTTACCTTTGCTCAAGCTTGCGCCCCAAAAGTCAAAGGAAAGACTTCAGCTGAGGCGGAATTATCTAAATATTGCAAGATGGTTCAAAAATTAAATAAGGTACCAAAGTCCGTCATTTTCGTACCTTCATATCATATCATAAAAACATCGTTAAGCATATAATTTATAATCGTCTCATATATTGCTTGTCAAGGCTCCAAGACGATGCTCGGGCTGCTGGTGACAGTCTCCCCAGCAGCCACCAATCGCAAGCTTGCCTCAATGGGCTCTACTGATGCTGCGCCAAAGTGGCACAACATTACGAAAAAAGCAACCGCTGTGTGAGGACAAGTTTGCGAAAAGCAGAATTTGATAGAACATGTCTGCATCTTTCTGCCACTTTTTGCCCTTGCTTGAGCTCAAAGAAGTCACGAACATGCTACCGCAAGCTGGCTGTGGGTCTATCTTGGCACACATTGAAGCAATGGGGCGTCCCGGGAGTGAATTTCAACACGCCCTACTCGTGCGCATACTTCTTAACCATTGCAAGCAAGGCACGTATGCACTGAGGGTGCCAGACACTAGTTTGCTGTCAATGCAAACGACAGGACTAGGTATCTGCCAGCATATCGAAGCTTCCACTGCGTTGAACAAGTCTCTGCAATCTGTGCCAGAAATGGTTCCGCTTGTTGAATCGCAAACTTCACTGCCTGCAAAGGGGAAAATGTGCAAAGACTGCATTCGGTCCAAGTTTCTACGCAAAAAATCGCATGATTGGAAGCCCTGCCTGCTGTCCAAGTGCCTTTAAACTCCTCGGAGACGCATGCTTGGTCAGTCCACCTAGAGCCGTACTTAAAGGCATTGTTGTCCTGTCAAAGTCGGGAACCAGAAAGCGCAGCAGGCACCCACCCACCTGCAATTTTACATAGTTCTATTGAATTCTGGGATCAAGTATATAAGGGCTTCTCTCGTCATCGAAGTGTCTAAGCTTCACCCAGCATGTCAGGCCATTTGCATCCCCAGTGAAAAAAGACACTGTGTTTGGTAATTTAATTCGTTGGAACGGTTAGCCAAGAGTTCGGCATGAATCTATCACCCGCTGGCTTTGGCTTGATGAGTTTTGGCAAGCGAATCCTGTTCGTCTTTGACTTCCACGCCGTAAAATGTCTCTCCGGTCTTGCTGTTGGTGCTGTCAATTCCCTGCACATAGTAGCTTCGAGCCTCGCTCTCCAGTTTTAGCGTGAAATAAGTAGCGCAGTGCATATCGAGAAAAAAATTCTCTTACTTCGAGTGATCCCACCGTGACAATTTATTCCCCACATCTTTGCGTGGGGTTCTTGTTTCTAGTTGTGCATTCCCGTCTGCCCACCGGCTCGCCCGCCCGCCAGCGCCGTCCGTTTGTCACACACAACTTTGTCACACACAACTCTTTCAATCTCTTTCATGGCATCCACGCCTTGGAGGCATTGACATGGCTTTTGGGCTTTTGTGTGGCAGGCATGCTGCTTACTGCACCACAAATCTTGGACACATTTTGTCACCCGCAACATTTTCACACGCAACTCCTTCACGGACAACACTGTCACGCACACACACACAACTTTGTCACACCCAGTCTTTCACACACACGCAACCCTTTCACACACAACATTGTCACACCCCCCCACACACACAACTCTTCACCAACACACACACAACATTGTCACGTGCGCGCAACTCTTTCACACACACGCACACAAGTCGTTCACACGAACAGCTTTGTCACACACAACTCTTGCACACACAGCATGGTCACAATATTGTTACACAGCACTCTTTCACACACACACAACAACCGTTCGCACCCAGCTCTTTCACGCAAAACTCTTTTACCCACATCTCTGTCACACACAACCTTTCACACACACACACAACTTTTTTTACATACAAGTCTTGAACACACATAAAAATTCTACACACGCATGCGCGCACACAAGCTTCCATACACAACTCTGTCAGACACAGTTCTTTGACATAATCTGTCTTCCACCATCGCCTTTCTCTTTCCAGCCTCTCCCATCCCATGTTCAAATCTGCCTGGTCCTTTTTGGAGGAAGTTGACATGTGGGGTTATCCGGTCCTTTAATTTGGCATTGTTTCTGACATCTCATCTGGATATATATATATATATGATTGTAAATGTATATATATATATGGCATATATATTTTCTGACAGTCTATTCTGGCATTCTATCTGACATTCTCTTCTGACATTCTATTCCGGCATTCTATCTGGCATCTATTCTGACATCCTATCTGGCATCCTTTCTGGCCCCTATGCTGACATTCTCTCTGGCATTTTTTTCTGGCATTCATTCTGGCATTGTATCTGACGTTCTTTTCTGGTATATTCTATCTGGCATCTATTCTGACATTCTCTCTAACATGGACACTGCCGGGCCTCAACCGCAAGCGCCTCGTGGCTGAGGTCCCACGGTTGAGGCCCGCAGTGCCCACTGAGATCTGGGGCTCGCTGTTGAGGTGGGGCTCGCAGTTGAGATGTGGCAGTGCGCGCTGAGATGTGGAGCTCGCGGCTGAGGTCCAGCAGTGCCCACTGCTATCTGGAGCTCGCCGCTCAGGTCCGGCAATGGGAAACCGAGCCTCGAACGGATAAACAAACTATATGGAAGTATACTGGCATATTTTATTGAAGCACAACTGCACAACACGATACAACGTGCAAAGAGTCCTTTTATGATTGCGTCAAGCGTTGGACATTCCGCAGCCAGGAGACACCACTGGCTGACACCCAACTTGTATCACCAGTGCTGCTTGTGCATGTTCCTTGAAAGTCCACCTGGAACATCGACTAGGCACTGTTCATGAAAATCATGGTCCAGTGACCAATTTTGCAATGAAATAATATGACGTGTGCGCTTCTCGTGCCCTCAGCTGCATCCTTCACGTATGTAAACAAATGTCAAAGAGGCAGCATATTGCCATGACATGGCACGAATCCCATCCCCGCCTGCAAAGAGAATGTCACCCTTTTTTCATTGGAAGTCACCTCAGTGATCAGTGGCTGCATGTACAAACAGATTCTTGCACAAAGGGGACAAATATAGATGCCCCAAACCAAGATAACCAAAGAAAAGGCAAGGGCCAGGCAGGCATTTTGTGTGCATCAGGCTTGTTCCGTGGGAGGTGAGGATGTCAAGTGCGTCAAATTCAATTGACTCCAAACACTCGGGCTGCAAAGATTTGAACGGTTTGCGCTTTCCACAGGGGAAAGGACCTGTAAATACCCAGAATGATTTGGTGTGAAACAAGGCCTTTTCAGTCCTTAAGCTTGCCGACGTTGCCCCTCTGGCTTGAAGCGAATCAATGCACTGAGAACTGCTTTCCCAGCTGTGCCCCTGACAGACACAGTGGTCTCTGTTGGATTTGAGGCCGTGAAGGAGCTCCTTGGTCTCATTGTCTTTGCACACAACTAAGCAGAGCTTGACTTCATCCAAACTGTCCGTGCGCACTCCCATCATAACTCTCATGTCTATTTGGCCTTGGATTGCTTGCAGTACGGAAAGCAGAGTGAAAGGAATGCCCCTGTAATGTTTGCCAGTTTCCGTCAGTTCCAGCACGGCTTAGCGCAGAAAAAAAATTGGACTGGGCCTATCATGCGAACAAACACGCCAAACGGTCTGGCATGGACAAACATGTGGAATGTAGACTCAGATGGTGTGAGCATGCCGGCCAAGCCAAGCTGCTGGGTAATCTGGCAAGAGGTCGGAGCAGAGATTGCAGCAAAGCTGAGTGTCAGGTTTCCAAGCAGCAAACAAGTTATTGAATTCCTGAGGGCAAAGGGCAAAGGGCAGAAGGGCTACGAGTAGCAGTCCTCTACGTTCGGGTTTGTTCCTCTGGGCTGCTGGAAGTGGAAGCCACAGCATAGCTGCAAAAAAAGTTAAGTATGGAAGACTTGTTCGGGGATCTTGGAACACCTTGCAGCGATGTGAAAATAAGGCTGAATCTGACGAAGACAGCCTTAAGCCTTTTGTCAAATAATGTATGTCCAAATTCACAGCATTATTTCCCGTAATTTTCTCATGTCTTGGGGGTCTCCTTGCCTGAAAAACAGACTATGGCACACAAGCAGTGCCTTGCAAATCACGAAGCGCAACTTTTTCTTGCATTCACCGTATATGGACTTTTTCGGAAAAGTCAAGCTCATAAAAAAGTGCTGGATCATCATTAGTCAAGAAGCCGCATAGCTTGAAGTGGTGGATCGCAAAGGATCTCAATACGCTTTGCACTTTTGAACTGAAACGGCTAAGCGCCCATGAGGCATACATCCAGTGATCGTTCATGCAAAAAGAAACAGGTATTTGAACAAAGGAAGTTGAGATTCATCAAAACTCTCGCCAAAGCCAGGCAAAGAAAACACCCCAGAAACGAGCAGTCTTGTAAGAAAGGCACGTGCTTTCCACTGCCAGTCCGTTCGGCACAAAGTCTCTCACGCAGCAAAGATGTGCTTATTTTCTCCTATCGCTGGCCGCTCATGCGCAACGTGCTCACTTTAGTCACCTTGGCTGCCATGTCATGCCAGCCATGTTTTGCATCTTGAGTCTTGAGATGTCTTGAGTGCACGTCTGAATACAATACATCTATGTATATACTCTCTATGTGCATCTAGTCTCTGTTACTAAGCGTTGCGCCTTGCTGGTTGGAGTGCACCGGCCAGCTGGCATGATACCGACCTAGCAGAGTTCGGTTCAGCTTTTGCAATGCAAGCCCTGGCTTTGAACCTGGCAGTACAATTGAAATGCAACCATCACAGCGATGGCTCTCAATTGCCATTTTAGACTTGGAAACAATATAGCACAAAATCATTAGATAGTGCAAAGGACGCCTGGTGAAAATCATTGGGTAATGAATGCGCAAAATGGTTGAAACAATGTAAACCCTTGCTTGACCTAATGATATCCCAAGCTGACGGCCTGCTGTGGTGCCTGCACCGGCAACCCCGTGGAATCTCACTTTCTGATGCTTTGGAATTGTGGCAATTGAGCTGGTTGGATGCGATGTGGTAGAACTGACATGATCATTCCTGGTCTACCAAGTTTCACACTGCTGGAAGAAGGGCCAGGAAAAAACGACTTGGGCCAATTAAACCGGCAGCCATGTACAAAACGATGTGACAACATGTGACAACTGTGGTTCGCAGTAATGCCCGTGCTGTCCTCTGCCGAACCTGTCAAATTGCAAGGCTCACGCATCCTGGAAACTTGTTTGCTTCAGATCAATGGGATGTTGGAAGGGCTGTTGAAAAAGGGGCATTTGTTCATGACCCTCCCAACCTAGATGAAGGTGCCTGTACTCCCTTGAGCCAAAGCCAACATAACCCTGAAACTACCTCAACATGACCCCAAACGCCCCAAAACTGTCCGTATGTAGCCCTAACATACACTACTGCACCTTACCGCGCAAGTTGCCCAAAATAGGCCCGACATCATTGGTTTCACGCTTGCTGACACCAACAAGGCTTCGTGGCTGCGTGCCAAATAAGTCAGCACAAACAAAAAGATCAATCAAGCCTAAGAGATGCACCAGGGCACTCCTAGACACTTGACAACTGCCTCAGCCATCCCGACGCTGATCGACGACGCTGATCCGTACTCAGAGGTTCTGATCCCTGACGATCCCTGACGCTGATCCCGCTCCACTGATTCTAACATTGAACTTACTCGTTTGTTTTGGGCCTGTACGGAGAAGCCTTCAAAGGCTCGGCAATCTTCCCCCTCTCTCTCTCTCTCTGTCTCTCTCTGTTTCCCTTGCAACATCTCTATCTGTCGGTCTTTCTGATTCTCTTGGCTCGTTGTTGCGTCTTCTTCTTTCATCCTTACTTGCAGCAAAGGTCTCAGCATGTTCATCCCTATTTATTGAAAATCTAGCCTCAACGTGCCATGAACTTCGAAAGCTTGAGTTGGAGAACAACCACCGTTTCAGCTGGGAAGAAACAAAGTTGTCCTCTCCACCATCGCAGGAACTGTGAATGCGCTCTGCGCCATGCGTGCCTGGCTTAACTCAGAAACAGCGATTCATAGTTCATAAAAAAAACATGAGCACTGCAAACTCAAGAGTTCGGGAACCGATGTAAGCATGACCATGCAGCTCCTAGATTTCACGAAACACAAATTCTCATTCTTGAGCCGAAACATATGTGAAAGAATCCTCAAACTTCCCTCAGAACCCTTATGTAAAACACAGCACGCAGCGTGCATGTCCAGAGGCCAACACCATGCTCAGCCCGCTTGGCGCAGCCTCATCCAGGTCTCGGATAACACTTTCAAGTTTTGGTAAAAATCGAAACCGGACACCTTCACAAAGCGACAACATGTTTCTAAAATGAAACATAAGAAAGGATAAGGGAGGGATAAGTGCAACGGGGCAAGGTTCACAACTGATCCCTACTGCCCTTCTGTCTTCTATTGGGGGCCCCGCCACATAGGTACGTATATGCATACTATATTGTTTTTTTTTATAGTGCATTGTGCGGTATGCTACTGCATACGCATAGTATTTAATTTGTATATCGTTGTATTGTGCTTTTGCATTTTTGCATGTTGCATGTTTGCATTTTCAGTAGTAGCCACATTCGCACTGGCATTTGTATTTGTATATTCTTGCATTTTTGTATTTGCGTGTGTAGTCGCATGTGTATTTGGCATTTGCATCTGAATTTGTATTGTATGTTTGTGTTTTTGTAGCAGTATTTGTATTTGTAGTCGCATTTGCGTTTGCATGTGTACTATTGTTGTATTTGGATTTGCGGCTGTACGGTTTGCATGGGTATTTGTATTTGCATTTCAATTCGTATTTGTGTTGCTATTGGTATCGTATTGTATTTCCATTCAAACTAATGCGCGCGTAGACACACACACACACGTATATATATATATATGTGTGTGTGTGTATGTGTGTGTATGCCTGTAACTGTAGCTACAAAAACAAATTTATCTATATATACAAGCCTGCAGGGCAAGTGGGCAGTCTGAAGGGATGAAAGAGAAGTGGCCACAAAATGAAGGCAAGACATAAGCGGGTCAAGAAATGTCAAGCTGTAGGAAGGAATATGTTTCTGTCCCAAACGCCTAAGTGGAGACCTCTAGACCAGAAACGCAGGACAGGGCAACTTGAACACATGGAGCATTTCATACAACGTGGCCGGATGCGCAGGGAAAAATAACACCGCAGCCTCTACTGCTATGTGCAAGTGCCCAAGTTGAGTTACGCCGACTGGGCGAAAGCAAAAGACGCAATATCTATCTATCTATCGATCGAACTATCTATCTACCCATCTATCCTTCTATCTGAATGCATAATCGCATTAAAAAGTATTAAAAACCTACCATATAAGCAGCCGTGGTTTGGCTGTGTGTCCGTCTATCTGCGAATATAGAAATAGTACGTCGGCAAACCGGGGTGGAAGCATCAAAGACAAATCAAAGCAATCCCACGCGCAGTGCAGAAACCATCTCTTGACATGTCTTCTTCCTGGCTTCTCTTTTCCTGACATGTCCTTCTCAGCTTTCTCCTCCTCTCATCTCATCTCAGCCCTTCTCATCTCCTCTCATCTCTCTTCTGAGCCTTCTCTCAACTCTTCTCAATTTATCTCTCCTCATCTAATCTCGGCTCGCCTCAGCTCTTCTCTTCTGAGCCCTCCCTCAGCCCTGCTCAACTTACCTCTTCTTACCTCAGCCCTTTTCAGCTCTTTTCTGCTCTTCTCTTCTGGGCCTCCTCTCAGCCTGCTCAACTTATCTCTCCTTATCTCTCCTTATCTCAGCCCTTTGTCAGCTCTTCTCAAGTCTTTTCAGCTCATCTCGGCTCTTCTGAGCTCCTCTGAGCTCTTCTCAGCTAATAGATCCTCTCATCTCTTCACAACGCTTCTCTCTTCTGACTTTCTCCGTCTCTGATCTTCTCCCTTCTGACTTTCTCCATGCCTGAGCTTCTTCCTGGCTGTGCTTTTCCATCTGTCCATATTGTCGAAAGTTTAGCTTCCAAACTTCCTTCGACAATAAAGCGAAATAGCTTCTGGCAATCAGCTATACTCAAATGGCGTGATTGGCGCTTTTTGGTTCCCAGCCGCAGCTATCTGACAATCCCTGAATATCCCCATGAAATGCCATTGCATTCTTATTTCAAATCCCTAGGAAAGCTTTCGCATCGTTATGCTGAATGCTGTCTTCAAGTTCGTCTCACAACCAGATTTCCAATTGGCAGTTCTTGCAGGAGCTCCTCCGTCGGCCCCAGAGGCCGAAACTTCTTCCTCGGGGGCTCACGGGTGGTGCCCACCGGATCCTGGCTTGGTGGCCTGAGGCCAGGCGCGACGCGCTCTGCGGCCTTCTCGGCCGCCTTGGCAGCCTTGACCTGCGCGGGACACAACGCGGGACCTGAGCGTCTTTGGGGCAAATGCCCCAAGTCAGCAGGCCGATCAAACCTTTAGCTTGCTAGTGCGCAGTCGCTCGACCGAACCGAGTCCCAAGATGAGCGGCTCGCCTCAGCTTTGAAGTCTTCCAGGCTCTGAGGCTCATCCAGTAGGTTGAAGAGCTGGTTGCACTCTTCGTGGATGGCCTTCATTCGTTCCTCCTCCTCCTTTTTCTCACGGCCAGCTTTGGTGCGCCCGTCAATCTTGTCTTTGCCTCCGAGGGAGATCCCGTGACTGTTTGTTCTGTGTCTATGAAACTTTGCTGCGCCCGTGCCATTTCAAAATTAGAAGGTAGCAAACCAAAAGGCCAAGCGAGCCGATGTCCGCAAGGCGCGAATGGACTTCGGAACGCCCCAGCCACCTATGAACTTTCACAGTGTCAGAAAGCATCCGCAATGCAGCAGTCAGTAATTGTCTTGTGATACTTTTTGCAACGTATTCGTTTGATAGATACATCTATCATATGAAACCCATTGTCCTTAGACCTAATTAACTGCAGCGGAAAAAGTAGTAGCAGAGGGGAATAGAATAACTCCCGAGCACCGAGTGGGACGGGCTCGCTCTGCCAGCTCCCGGACGACCACCCCGACAAGCTGGAGTGGCGCCGGAAGCAAGACGAGCGCAACCTCACGAGTCCGGGACTCAGCAGAAGGAGCTCCGCTACGAACACAAAAGATACTGTTGTTTGGATACGAAACACATTATTACAACTTAGAGCCTTTGCCGATCTTCGATTCTTGGTCAAATTTCCTTCCTAGATGACACCAAAAAAAAAACTTCGTCAGCCAAATCTGCAATCTCAAATCCCCTGAGCTCTTCTCAGCTCAGCTCTTCTCTGGCCCCAAGCCGGATCTCGGCGCCAAAGCCAAAAAAAGTACGGTTTTTGAACTTTTCACCGGAAACGAGCGCGGCCAAAAACGGGGAAAATCATCACAACTCATCATCGCAATCTCTACAAGCAAAACCACGCACGGATACCCCAGCTAGTCCCATGGATTCTTCCGCTTCTCCGCACAGGATTGAACTGCGACCTTGAAAATTCCCGTGGAACCTGCAACCTCTATAGGGAGGATTGCGCGGACGCTTGAACCCCTTCCATTTTTGTAGCCCGCCCTGACAAATAGAAAGCGACACTTTCACTTATAAGCTCAAGAAACCACAATACAGCACCAAGTCTTGCCACAGCAAAACCTAAAGCGCATGCTTTCAGTACCTGAATTCTCACATGGCTACCCAATGTGCAAGGGCCTTTTTTCTTTCTCAGCATCTCCTACTTCCCCGAACTCAAAATTGCACAGGACTTAAAAACACTGCTTCGCGAGCCTGCCTGGCAATGTTGAGGAACGAGAATTTCTTCAGGCCACTAGACACATGCCAAAAGCCTCCCACCAAAAGAACAAGTCACCCAAAATAACAACGCTCACACGCAGTACAAGCCCGCCTGCCAAATCCAAGCCAAAACATGACTCCTAGCTGCTACGCTGCGCCTGCCAGCTGCTACAGCGCGCCAACACCTGCACATTTAGAAACACTTTTTAAACGGCATCGTAAGGTTCAAGCTGCCCAAAATGAACTCTCAAGCCCCAGGAAAACCACTGCTTCCGGTGGATGGGAGTTTCCAGGCCCTAAGCGAGAAACAAGAAAAACACGGCGCTAAAAAAAAAACGCGACGCCGCTGAGCGAAATGCGTGGCGAAACCGCTGCAAGCGTAGCCAGTTCAGGTCGAAGGCCGTCACTTCGATTTCCTAACAGACATGCATGCGACGCAGCGCAAAAAATACAAGACGCATCCAAAAACACAACATGCAAAAAATATCCCGGTACGAGTTAGCCCTGGAACCTTAGCACCCCTGGTTTTCTAGTAGAAAGTAAAAGTTCTTGCAATTATGGTCCCCAGAAAAATGGTCTCTGACCCCAAAATAATATAGCCGCACTTAGAAAACCTTATGCGTACAAAAATTGATTTTTCCATTATGCTTTGCGCAGAATTCCTGAGAATTTCATGCGCGAACATCTGATGTAGGATCCAAACTGCGGAAATTGCGGACAAAATAACTCACTTCCGAAATTCAACTCTAGGTTTTCTAGAAGGCATTTTTCTGCAACATTGTTCTTCGAATATCGCCTAATTTCTCCCGCTACAAGGCTGGACCCTGCTAGAAGATTGTGAACATGTGCTTTGGGCTAAGAAAGGCACTTCTAGAAAATCATTTCCAAAGGAAAATTCATATATTTGGTCCCTCATAGATGACATTTAGAAAATTCCAGACATAGACTGGAGCTTGCCTGTTGCACTATTGTCTACCTCTAAAAAACTAGGGCCCACCAGAAAATCGCAATCTGACTCCTCAGTGTTGCAGTGTTGAACAATGTTGAACAGCTCTAGAAAACCTGGGGCCACTAGAAAAGCTGAATCTTACCTCTCAATTTTATGTGAAAATTTGCTCGCAAAGTCCGATTTTTTGGCCTCTAGAAAGTACGAGTATACGAGTATGATAGGTCCCAAGTTGTAAAAAAAGGCTCTCTAGAACCAAGGGGGGTTGTTACAGGTAAGCTTCTATGTTCCCCTATGTATATATTTTCTCTAGCAACAGATGTCCTTACAGGGGGGTTAACCTACCTGGTTTTCTGAGGGGAACTCGAACGAGGATCAAAACATAGAACGTTCATCCAAGTCAACAAAGAACAAAATATCCTCCTCATGGGCTGGACCAGGGAGATGCCCTCTGACCCAGTCCGTATACCGAACAGCCTCCTCCCAATCCGCAGCAAAACACCATGCGATAGCTGAGCCATGCTGGTTAGCCCACCAATCATGGCAAAAAGCCGACAAAAAGAAACACGGCTGCAGAAAAGTCAGAGAAAGAGATTAATTTGCAGCGCCTCTGAGATGGACAGCAATATTCACCCCGCTTCGCGTGGGGTGGCCGCCCACACCGCAGGTTTATTTCGGTCCGTGAGAGGGGCTAAGGGTGGTTTTCCCCCGTGGAGGCTCTTCAAGCTAAGAAGTTTCAATAAGAAATCCTTCCAAAACATTGTTTTTGACAGTGTTTTTCCAATGTTTCCAGTCAAACAGACGGTAATTTACACGTTTTTTGCCATAAAGGCAGTAAATCCTTCCCAAACATTGCTTTTGACAGTGTTTTTGTAATGTTTCCAGTCAAGCATACGGTAATTTACACGTTTTTTGCTATAACGTCAGTCCAAAACACTTGTTTTTGCAGTGTTTTCAATGCTCTGGCATCCAAAAACCCTGCAAAATCTTGCTATGTACATGTTTTTTTCATTTTTGGCCGTTTTTCCATTGCCGGAAAGCTACCAAAATGAACCAAAATTCCATTTCAATACCATCTTGCGCTCAGACACCCAAAAATCCTCGAAAAATGTCGAAAACACCACCGTATTCTGGTCTCGGTGCGAAACCGTTTTTGGGGTCTGGTCTCGGTGCGAAACCGTTTTTGCCCCCCCCCCCCAGCTAAAGCTGATATAGCGACTGCTATATTAACAAATGTCATTGAGCATTTAGTGTTGCTGTTGCCCCCCAATAAGCACGCCTTCACCGCCAAAGCGGTGTGGGCGGATTTCTATATTTCTACTGGTTTTGCTACACCGCGTGCCCTTGTTGCACAAGGGATATTACACCAATTTAACCTCATGCGAGAACGGACACATCAAAAACAGGTTTGAACCTGTACTGTTCCGTTTGAAATTCGCTTGCGTGCGGCATTTCCTGCTTCCAAAGCAGCTGTCAATTTACCCACAGCAACTAAATCTTGAATGTCATTCGACTGCAACTGCTCTAGCATTATCCCAAAACTTCCGAAATTATTCTTTGACTTGGCCCGCTGCCATCTCATGATCAAAATGTTTCAGTCGACGACGCCGCTAAAGAAGAAATACAATCACCTACAAATGCAAGACAAAAAACCCTAGCCTCGTAAGGCTCCAAAGGTGCCAAGCATCAGCCCGAAGAACCGTGAATGCACGCTGATCGCCTGCAATTGCGAGGCGCTAAAGACAGAAAAGGCAAGCAGCGCCAGACAAAAAGGAAGCCACAAAAAAACCTGCCTTCCCTTTGCCTGTGCGATGGCAAGCTAAAATGCCACAAGCAAAGAAGAAGACCAGGAGAGCCATGGCGAATCCTGAGTCCGGCGGCAGCGTCGAAAGAAACAAGATCAAACAAAAACGCAAAAGCTCCCTTTCGGGAACAAACGGTGCAGCAAGGAAGCCGCGCCGCGGAACAAACAACCTGCCAAACAAACGAAGCTAAGGGTGCCTTGAAAATGTCGGTCGGAAACAGAACAACCACATAACAACGCAACGCAAAAATAATGCACCAAACACCGACGCCGCACCTTCAGGTAGCGCTCTAGCCAAGACGAACGGGGAAGCATGCAACTCAGTTTGCGGCCGTCCGTTACAAATCATGTGTCCAGCCCGCGTCAACATGCACTTCAAGGCACTTGCTGCTGCGTGCATCATAATATGCTTCCACGGCACCAGCCATGCTGTTGACGAAGTCATGTTCCTTATCCGCGTTCCTCGTGCGAAAGATGCGCGTTCCTTGGGAGATGTCTGTCGCGGCAGCAAGCTTGTGTTCGTGGCCGGATCATATAGTTGTCCAAGTTGGCCTCGTAGTCCAGCAGGATGTTGCCGATTGGATGCTTGTGGCGGTGCTTCAAGCAGGCTTCGGCTGCCAGCGCATTGGCTTTCGCACAGGCAAGACAGCTGCACGTGACGATGGTCGTGTCCTCGTGGTGGCGGAACAGGTCCAAACCCGCCGAAGTCACATGGGCTCTGCAACATCTACAAGCAGCATGACATGGATACGTCACAAATCCACATGGATTCTGCGACCTCTACAAGATGGATTGCCCGGATACCTCAAGAATACACGTGGGTTGTGCGACCTCATAGAGTTTGCGACCTGTGCCCATATAGGAAGTCATATCGATTCTGCGACCCCTATAGCACGGATACCAGAAAGGAGCTCACATGGGTTCTGCAACCTCTACAAACAGCATTGCGCAGCTACCTGAAGAGGTCACATGGATTCTGCAACTCTAAAGTGTCAAGGAGCCAAGGCAAAAAGGAAAATGCACGGATATGACAGGAAAGGCAATAGCCGGCGCAATTCAGATTTTCATAGATTTTCACCATCCATCTTCCGAAGCACCTTTGGCACTGCAAGGCCTGCTATCCCTCAAAAACCAAGCTTTTGTGCGAGGCTTCCTTCCAATACTGCAAGTTCAAGTTGTGAAATCGACGCTTAACTGCAAGTTGAAGATGTGAAAACGAAGCTTTCGCGCGGGACTTCCTAAAACGAAGCTTCCATGCAGATCTCCTTCAAAAGCAGCAAGTGAATGAGTGGGTGAGTGAGTGGTTGAAAGAGTGAGCGGGTGAGTAAGTGAGTCAGTGAGTGACTGAGTGAATGAGTTAGTGAGTGGGTGAGTGAGTGAACGTGCGAGTGAGTGTGAGTGAATGGGTGAGTGCGGGTCAGTGGGTGACGGAGTGTGGGTCAGTGCGTGAGTTTGGGTCAATGGGTGAGTGAGAGGGTGGGTGAGTGGGTGAATGGGCAAGGGATCGAATGGTGAGCGAGCGGGTCAGCGCGTGAGGTTTGAATGTCCGTGCCACGGAAGTTTCTTTTCCAAACCTCCTTTGACAATCAAGTTTCTTTTCTTTTCTTGTTCTTCCGCAAGTGTCGTGCTCGGGTTCAGGCAGCGGACATTGGTGCCACATGCATTCGTGGCGGTAGCCTCAGAACTTCAATCAGCATGGCGAATACTGCTTCATGCATATTTGAAAATCGAAAATGAATCCAAATATTATGCATGGAAGCCTTGTTCTCAAACCAACATCTAATCAATGCCATTGAATACCATTGAAGATCCTGGGGGATCTGTGTTGAGCACGCTACCATCACTGCCTAGTCACTACCTGTTCGAATCATAGCTTTGTCTGCGGCCAGGCTGCTGCCTAAGCTGCGGCACACGTGGAGTGACAGGAGCGCTTCCTGGCGAAAACTCGACATCCAAACAAGACTCCCTATGTCCAGGGCAAAGACTTTGTAGCAAAGATGGGCAAAGGATTGGCAAAGACGAAATTAAACACACCCTTTACTCCTGTCGAGTGTCTCTCGATCAAATCACAACTGCTCTAGGAATACCTGCGTTGTGGAATGGAAAGAAGGCTTGGGCCACTTGACGCCAAACAACCACCAATACCAAAATAATGTGGCACGTGCATCCTTGGTGTTGCCATGAACGAAATGGTGGTGAAGGAGAACAAAGCACCTGCACCTATGGAAAGGCGCTCCAAATACCAGTTGATTGATGTGTATGTTCGTGATATGGACGGCTGTGCCAGGATGTAGAAAAATTTTTGAAAGTAAAGGTGAGGTACACTATCTGAATGCTCTTCCTTCTAGGTTCCTTCTGTCATTGTCAAAGGAAGTTGGGAAGCAATACTTCCGTGTTACGGACAAATAGAACTCTGAGACTTGAAATGATGAAGGGTGGTAGATCACATCACAATACATAATCTAACAATACATAACAAAAGAATAAGAAGCTATGGAATTGACCTTGAAGAAGGGTGGTAGATCACATAACAATACATAATCTAACAATACATAACAAAAGAATAAGAAGCTATGGAATTGACCTTGATGAAGGGTGGTAGATCACATAACAATACATAATCTAACAATACATAACAAAAGAATAAGAAGCTATGGAATTGACCTTGAAGAAGGGTGGTAGATCACATAACAATACATAATCTAACAATACATAACAAAAGAATAGGAAGCTATGGAATTGACCTTGATGATGGGTGGTAGATCACAAAACAATACATAACAAAAGAATAAGAAGCTATGACACAGGGTGGTGACGAAGGGATGTGGTTACGATGGGAAGTGGTGACGAAGGGAGGTGGTGACGAAGGGAAGTGGTGATGAAGGGGAGTGGTGACGAAGGGAGGTGGGGACGATGGGAAGTGTTGAGGAAGGGAAGTGGTGACGAAGGGATGTGGTTACGATGGGAAGTGGCGAGGAAGGGAAGTGGTGACAAAGGGAAGTGGTGATGAAGGGGAGTGGTGACGAAGGGAGGTGGATCGGATCTACCACTGAAATAAATTTGTCGCTTTGGAATCTCTCCGCTGTCAAAGCAAACAAGTGAAATGTGCATTTACTGTGTGGACGATGGGACGTGTTGAGGAAGGGAAGTGGTGACGAAGGGAAGTGGTGATGAAGGGGAGTGGTGAGGAAGGGAGGTGGGGACGATGGGAAGTGGTGATGTAGTTCTTGAAGCTGTGTGCTTAGTTCTATGCGTTTCTTGAAGCTGTGGTTGCAGATCGCAGTGTAATGGCTGCATGAATGTTGCATGGGGATAGTTTTGGGGAGGAAGCCGGAGCACGAAACCTTGTGTTTTTCCGTGTAAAGTGGTTGCAGGCGACGATGAAAGGTACCTCGTGTGTGCGATGGGTGCGGCTGCGGTCGTTTTGTGCGCGATTGGTTCCTTCATGTTCCTTCTATGTGTTTTGCAACAAGTGGTTGTTCCTGTGTGCGTAGTTCTATGCGTTTCCTGAAGCTGTGGTTGCAGATCGCATTGGAATGGCTGCATGAATGTTGCATGGGCTATGTTTTGGGGAGGAAGCCGGGGCACGAAACCTTGCGTTTTTCCGTGTAAAGTGGTTGCAGGCGACGATGAAAGGTACCTCGTGTGTGCGACGGGTGCAGCTGCGGTCGTTTTGTGCGCGATTGGTTCCTTCTATGTGTTTTGCAACAAGTGGTTGTTCCTGTGTGCGTAGTTCTATGCGTTTCCTGAAGCTGTGGTTGCAGATCGCATTGGAATGGCTGCATGATGTTGCATGGGCTATGTTTTCGGGAGGAAGCCGGAGCACGAAACCTTGTGTTTTTCCGTGTAAAGTGGTTGCAGGCGACGATGAAAGGTACCTCGTGTGTGCGACGGGTGCGGCTGCGGTCGTTTTGTGCGCGATTGGTTCCTTCATGTTCCTTCTATGTGTTTTGCAACAAGTGGTTGTTCCTGGGTGCATAGTTCTATGCGTTTCCTGAAGCTGTGGTTGCAGATCGCATTGGAATGGCTGCATGAATGTTGCATGGGCTATGTTTTGGCGAGGGAGCCGGAGCACGAAACCTTGTGTTTTTCCGTGTAAAGTGGTTGCAGGCGACGATGAAAGGTACCTCGTGTGTGCGATGGGTGCGGCTGCGGTCGTTTTGTGCGCGATTGGTTCCTTCTATGTGTTTTGCAACAAGTGGTTGTTCCTGTGTGCGTAGTTCTATGCGTTTCCTGAAGCTGTGGTTGCAGATCGCATTGGAATGGCTGCATGAATGTTGCATGGGCTATGTTTTGGGGAGGAAGCCGGAGCACGAAACCTTGTGTTTTTCCGTGTGAAGTGGTTGCAGGTGACGATGAAAGGTACCTCGTGTGTGCGACGGGTGCGGCTGCGGTCGTTTTGTGCGCGATTGGTTCCTTCATGTTCCTTCTATGTGTTTTGTTGTTCCTGTGTGCGTAGTTCTATGCGTTTCCTGAAGCTGTGGTTGCAGATCGCATTGGAATGGCTGCATGAATGTTGCATGGGCTATGTTTTGGGGAGGAAGCCGGAGCACGAAACCTTGTGTTTTTCCGTGTAAAGTGGTTGCAGGCGGCGATGAAAGGTACCTCGTGTGTGCGACGGGTGCGGCTGCGGTCGTTTTGTGCGCGATTGGTTCCTTCTATGTGTTTTGCAACAAGTGGTTGTTCCTGTGTGCGTAGTTCTATGCGTTTCTTGAAGCTGTGGTGCCAGATCGCATTGGAATGGCTGCATGATGTTGCATGGGCTTTGTGTTGGGGAGGAAGCCGGAGCACGAAACCTTGTGTTTTTCCGTGTAAAGTGGCTGTAGCCGTGGTGCCGCGGCTGCTTGCGCAATACTATTGTCTTTTGCAGCTGAAGATTGCGAATCGTATTGGCGTGGCTGCATCCAGGCTGCGATAGTGATTTTTCAGAAGATTGTTGCAATTTGGGCGATAATAATTTTCCTTTTAAAATTCCTTTTAAAAAGTGCTTCAAAATCGTCTTTTTTTAGCTTTGGCGTCGAGATCCGGTTTTGGAGCTGCAGTTTCCGACGTCGTTGCGCGTAGTTCTATTTTGATTTGCAACTCATTCTCCGCAGATCGCATTGTAATGGCTGCGTCAAGGTTGCTCGGTGCCGCGGCTGCATGCGTAATAGTATTGTATTTTGCAGCTGGATCTCGTAAATCGTATTGGAGTGGCCGCATCCAGGCTGCCATAGTGATTTGTCATGATTTGTCAGCAAATTTTCGCAATTTTGGTGCTAGTAATTTTCCTTTTAAAATTCTTTTTAAAAAGTGCTTCAAAATCGTCTTTTTGTCGCTTTGGCGTCGAGATCCGGTTTTGAAGCTGCAAATTGTAGTATACTGGGAACGACTTTGTGCAAGCTTTGTAGTACAAAGTAGTACTGGGGAGTACTGCAAGTTTTGAGTACAAAGTAGTACTGGGAAGTAATTTTTGCAAGCTCTCTAGTGCAAAGTACTATTGGGTGCAAGCTGTGTAGTACCAAGTAGTATATACTGGGAAGTAGTACTGGGAAGTAGTTTGTCAGCTAGTGGATGTATGTTGCTATTTCGAGTTTTGTGTACGATATTGTAGGTAGGTAAATGTTGTGACATTGATGTCCAGGAACAAGCTATAGAACTCTTGACCAGAAACCACGGTGGCGATGTGTTCTGGCCGCAGCTGTTTGCATTTTCCAGGAGGCAGACATGTGTAGCAAGAAAGAATTGGGAACGTGCATTTGTCAGAGGTGTCATGTATTCAGGTCTCATGGTTAGACACTCATGCTTTGGAGCGGTTAGTGGATGAGAAAGGTATGCATGATGAGACAGCCATGTTCATAATTTCGGACGTCGCAGTGCGCAAGGAGACGTGGCAGCGCGGCCCGTTTCCTAAGACGCGGTGGAGCCATGGCGCAATCGGAGACCTTTGCTGATCTGTGGTCATACATCGAGAAGGAAGCGGCGACTTTGAAGGTGCTGGAATGTAAGACGTTGAAAGCTTGCCTAAGCACCGGAAAATGTTGGAAGTATTACAAGATGTATCTTGCTCTTGAGAAAACCTTTTCGGCCGAACAGACTCAGGTGATACAAGAATGGGAAAAACAAAACTGCCTGTCAGATGTGCGAGCAGCCTTTCGGAAGTTTTGTGCTGCTGCAGAAGCGCACTTAGAGGAGATGAAGGCTTTGGGAAAAGGTACATTGCGTGATGTCTGCATGAGTAGGACTGTTTCACGGAGCAGAACTTGGGGAGGCATTTGTTATCGTTTTGTGAAGAACTACACATATGAGAGTTTGAATGAAGAAGAAAAGGAAAAGTGGAAGGATTTGGAGCGGCGGGTATGTGTGAAGTATGCATCTGCGCAGCCCGAGTTCGATCGTTTCGTCAACATTCTTGAAGATAACAGAGAAGAGTTGCAAGGGATGCAAAAGTCTACGCTGCTTCAACTCATGCGTGCAGCTGAGCGTACAGGTAAGCCAGAATATGTATTTGGCAGAAATTTTTGCCGGCGGAGCTATGTATTTGGCAGAAAATTTTGCAGAGTGCACGCGCGCACGGGCTTGGCTGGCGCACGGCGCATGCAAGTTCTATAGATGAGAAAGGTCTTATATATATATATCTTTAAGGCAACTTCCGCCCCGCCTCGTGCGGGTACTACTGGTATATTGTTGCACAGAAAATATATACACGTGAGTATACACTTGTTGCTGTTTGTCTGGCTATTCACGCAAGTGTCGAGCAGCTTGTTGGTGCTTGCAGCTCCCTTCAAACCAGCACGATCGAAGACAAACAAAAACCTTCGAAGGAGGATCTCGACATACCTCATACATCAACCAACATCATGAACAACTATTCTTTGCATCCCTCCCTCCCTCCCTCCCTCCCTGGGTCCCTGCAATTGTAATCAATTTGTTCAATGTCTTTTGAATTTCAACATTATTCAACTCATTTCAGGACTTCCACTGGCTCCTCACAACTCCTTTCTGCTTTTAACCCCTGAATTTCTTTGCCAACCTGGTTGCGAGTTTCCATGGAGGCAAGAAGCGGGTATCAGTACTGCTGGTGCCTGCACAGAGTGTCAGTGTTGACTGCATATATTTTTGCATCAACATCACACAACTTGCTTGATACAACTCCGGTGCAAACTTGCAAGAAAACCGAGCGCCCTGAAAGAACAAGGTTCACCAAACGCTTTTTGTAAATCTTTGCAAGCGTTCAGAACGGCTTTGCCCTCTGTTAAGTTGGAAAACAAAACAGCATCCTTGAGACATTGGACAAATCAGTTGAGGGGCAGGTCTTACAAGCGGGCGTTCATCAGAACGAAACGGCACTTTTGCA